AAGTTCATCCAACCTGGCTCTTGGACACTTCCAGGGATGCAGGGGCAGCCACAGCTTCTCTGGGCACCCTGTGCCAGGGCCTGCCCACCCTCCCAGGGAAGGATTCCTTCCATAAAATTAATCCCCAGTGTGATGATCCACAATTTTCTGTATGAACAATCAGTAAATTAAATGTTTGTTTCTCTGCTACAGGGCTGGAATTTGCAGATGGGGTTTGCAGGTGTTAAAATACAGATTTTCTGCAGATAGAGCAGAATAATTTATCTTCAGTCAATCTGTGTTTCAGACCCCATGTTGGATATGGACATCCAGGAGCTGGCCAGTCTGACCACCAGGGATGGGGACCTGGAGAACTTCGAGAGGCTGCTCTCAAAGCTCAAAGAAATGAAAGGTAACAGCAGGACAGAGGGGCCTGAGCTCTGGCACCTGTTCCAGTGAGTTGGGAATTGTGTACAAATTCCTGTTCCTGTTTACTGGGAGCAATTGCTTTTACTGAATGAGATCACTTTGTTATGATCTTGAACCAGTTCCTTGGGAGCTCCCCAAGTGCAGCTGCAGGAGGAGTTGCTGTCCCTGCTCCCAGCCCAGGCCATTCCTCTTTCCCACAGATAAAGCTGCCACATTGCCCCACGAGCAAAGGAAGCTCCATGCAGAGAAGGTGAGTTTGGGAATGGCTCTTGGAATCACTCACAGTGGGGTTTTCCCTTTCCAAGCCAGAATTCCTGTTCTTGGAGGGTTCCTGGAGGGAGAGCAGTAGAACCAAACCACATGGTCATGGGGAAGCCCTGTCAGGTATCTCCCAGGAACTGAGGAGCAAACCTGGAATTCTGAAACACTGGAAAATTCCAGACTGTTTTGGGTTGGAAGGGACTTTAAAGATCATCTTGTTCCACTCCCCTGCCATAGTTTCCTTCCCTTTTCCCCTTCCCTTTCCCAGCTGAAGGCCCTGCAGTCACAGGGGATGTGGTTCAGCTTCCACAAGTCCATGGAAAAGCCTTGATCTCCTGGAAAATTTAATCAGGCCTTAATTAGCCTGGGTTTGGTATCAGAGGTGCCTCCCATGAATCCTAAAGAATTGCCTGGAATTCCTCAACCTCACAGGGGGGAGCACTGCACTCATGAGCCTGGTTTGTGAGCAGATAGCCTGGCTGCCAGATGTACCTGCTGCTCAGTCTCTTCTCTTTGGATGGTAAATCCCAAGTTTTCAGCCATTTCATGGGAGTTTTTCCCCTCTCCCATCTTTTCTTGCCATTGTAGGTGGCCAAAGCCTTCTGGATGGCGATTGGAGGAGACAGAGATGAGATTGAAGGGCTCTCCTCAGACGAGGAGAACTGAGTTGTTGTGCAGCTGGACCTGCAGGGCAATCCTGCAGGAATGAGCTTCCCTTAATCAGGTGTTTATTGCCAAAAGCCCCGTTTAGCTGTAGCCCCTTTCACTGGGGAGAGGATTCCCAGTGTCCCTGTAGTGAGTTGAACATTCCACACCAATTCCTGGCTCTGGTGGGTCTGTCTGACTGCCCTTTCTCCCCTCCCTGAGGAGTTTGGAAGGTGCCACGTGCAGTTCAAGGAAACGGGAACGGGTTTCCATTTTCCAAAGGAACGTTTTTATTGCTTCCTCCTCGGAGTTTAAATAAACAAACGTGCTCCCAGTTATCTTTGCACACGTGGCTGGGGGTCGGGGAGCCACTCCTGAATTCCAAACTCCACGTGTTTGGTGGTTTTATGGAGCTTCTTCCCAGTTCAGACCGAGCAGGTTCCTCTGAGCTGCTGAGCTGTGCCCTGCTGGGGATGCTGTGCCAAGGCTGCTGGTTCATGCAGTGCCAAAGCCATGAGGAACGGCCCCTGGGCTCGGATTCCGCTGGAATTTTGTCTGTGCAGCTCAGTGGGCCTTCCCTGGAACGTCAGGTGTTGTCCACACTCCCTGGCTTTCCACTGAGAAATTTGGGATGAAATGCCAGACAGATTCTTGCAGCTGTTCCAGGGTTGAATTCCCTGCCCAGAGCTCCTGCCATGCCTGGCAGCACTCACAGACCTGCAGAGGGGGAGTCTGTCCTGAATTCCTGAAACCCACGGAAAACGCCGGGATCCCCACGTGCCACTGGATGTGCTGATGGCTCCCCCTCCTGCGGGTGCCCTGCAGGCACCAGAGCGACTCTTGGCTGCTGGGTGGGCTCAGCTGAGCTGCTGTCCCTGCTGGGGGCTGTGTGTCCTCTCCAGACCTGCTGGGAGCGGGGAATGGGAGAAGGAAAACAAGGAGGAAGGTGGAGCCTGGAGAGGGAATGAGAGGAGAAAGGGTAAATCCATCCTGGCTCCTTCCCTGCTGCACTCAGTGGATCTGTGGGAAGAGGAGTTGGCTTGTGGAGGAGTCCAACCCAACCATCCCCAGTGCTCATCTTTCTCTTTCCAGTCTGAAAATCCACCTGAGTCAGAAAGTTTGGAATTAACTTTTCCAGTGTCTGGGTTTCCTGTCAATAAATTTCCCTGAGCCCTGAGACTTCAGTTTGCCATCTGTTATCTGATGGCTTTGCATTCTGAAGGCACTTCCACAGTCACTCCTGACATTCCTTGTCCCTCTTGAGATAAATCAGAGGAAAAGGAGCTGCTTGGAATGCTGGGAATCATTTCCTGGGTGGAAACTGCAGCGATTGGGAACAAGACCTGAACCTCCCCTGGCAGTTTGGGAAGCATTTCTCCTCCAAACCTGAGCAGTGCTTTTAAGAAGATGTGCAGATATCCAAGGAAACACCTGCCAGAGCCACCTCTTCCCAACCTTGCCCTGACTCCTCCCATTCTCTTCATCCTTTTCCCAGCACCCAGAGCTGCAATGAGGACCTGAAGGTGCTTCATTCCAAGCAGGGAATGGTTTTCCATCTTGGCTTCTTGGTAGTTGAAGACTTTTTTCTTCCCCTTTCCAAATATTTACTGTGCATTATAGTGATAAATGGCAGAAGTGCAGAGGGAATGAGTTGGGGCAGTGAGGAAAACATGGACTTGGATACTTCATAAAACCAGCCCTTCAGGCATGACAGACACCTGACTATTGCAATTTGATAAAATCACACCCATCCAAATCCAGCTCTTGTCTGCCTTTGTACAAGGCAGCAGCAGCAGCAGCAGCTCATTCCCAGGTTTAAACTCTTTTAAACTTGTTTTTGTTGTAAATCCGTGTCTTGTTCAGAGGTGCCCAAATCATGGAGGCAGGAAGTGTGGCTGGAGACACCACGGGCCTTTATTGTGCTTTTAAATCCAAGTTTAATTTGGGGGGGCTTGGGAGGGTTTTCTGTGGTTTGGTTGGGGTTTTGTTTCTGTAGAGACACTTTGGTTTTGGCCACAGAATTTCTTTACAAGATCTAGAAGTTCCAGAAATGAATAAAAGGGGCAGCAGTGGAAAAGCAAACCTGAAATGGTGTCTGTCACTCCATTCTCTTCGTGTGCCACAGCCTTGGTCAGGAACAGCAGAAGAATTCCCAGGTTTTCAGAGAATCCCAGGAGGTTTGGGTTGGAGGTGACTTTAAGGGCCACCCAGTTCCACCTGCATGTGCAGGGACACTCCCACTGCCCACAGTTTACATCCTTCCAGGTATGAAGCTTGAGTTCCAGAATTCCCAGTTGCTGCTCCAGCATTCCCAGTCTTGGTTGGGCATTCCAGTGTTACTGGACAGACCAGGCTGGGATGGCCAAGATTTTCCTGCCACTACACCCACTTGTCACCCAACTTTTGCCTGAACCCAAAAATTCCAGGCAGGGTCTGGAATTTTTAATTCCTTCCTATACCTGGCACTTGCTGCAGGTGGCCATTTGCAGTGCAGATGATGGGCAGGCTGGGATGCTGGAATGCAGGCTGGGATGCAGGCTGGGATGCTGGAATGCAGGCTGGGATGCAGGCTGGGATGCAGGCTGGGATGCTGGGATGCAGGCTGGGATGCTGGAATGCAGGCTGGGATGCTGGAATGCAGCTCCATCCAGGGGGAAGCAGCAGAAGCCCCAGCTCAGCACGGATTTACCGCGTCGCTCGTGGAGCTTTGGCAGCCCCAGCACAAGGCCTGGACGAGACCCTTTATTACCACATGGTTGGAAAACCCAGTGGAAAAAGTGTTCTCGTAAATCCTGTCAGGAAAAACAACCCAGAAAAAAGTGAATTCCAGTGAAAGCCTCGGAGAGCCACGGGGAGTTCACGGATCACTGCGTGCTCTCCCTGGGCTCTCTGGACAATGCCTGCTCCTGCAGCATTCCAGGGATGTGTCACTGTCCCCCGGGATGGCACCTGACCTGCCCACCCTCCAGCCACAGGCTCTTGGAATTCTGCCTCCAGGAGGGGCAGCAGCATCATCTCTGCAGAGACCCCGAGCTGCAGGAACCTGCTTGGCACAAAATGACAGCCAAAAAAAAACACAGCCCGGGAGCTTCGGGCAGGGAAACTCCCACTGGGAACAGAGCTTGGGAAGAGAGCTCAGCACTGCAGGCAGAGACAGGACACCAGAACCTGGGATCTGCTCCTGACAGGACACCAGAACCTGGGATCTGCTCCTGAGAGGACACGGGACAGGGCAGGGAGTGCTCCCTGCAGCTCCTGAGCTGGCAATGGGGATCCCCAGTTCCCTGAGCTGAGAATTCCCAGCCCTAAGGTGCAAGTCCAGCAGCAGTTGGAACAGGGGGCAGGGAGGGAATGTTCAGCCACCTCTGACTTTTCCAGCTCTTGGCCCATAAATCCTTGGAGTGCAGAGCTCGGAGCTGCTCCCCTTTGGATCCTCTTAGTTACAAGACTTAGTTGTAGGTTTTTAATTAATTTTTCATATCTGGCTTTAAATTCTCGAACAAAACCATGAAAACAATGAAGGTCTCACCTGTCACTGAGGTCTCCTGTGTGTGACTGGGAACACCCCTCATTACCCAAACCTGGAGGTGCTGCTGGCTCCCAACTCCCTGTGGTTTCCAGACTCCAAACTGTCCATTTTGTGCCCTCCAATCCATCCTTACAACACCCCCATTCGCTCACGAGCCTCAGTTTTCAAATCAAAGTTTATTAAAATGTCAAAAACAGACCTTACAGTTGCACAGGGGAAGGGGAGGGAGTACATGGGACAAACAGTGAGTAATGGAGCCGGGGGAAAGCAGGGATGTACAGCAGGAATTCTACCACTAACACAAACATGCTCGCAGGGATCCATCCCAGGGCGCAGCTCCGGAGGGAACGGGCTGGATGTGACCCCCCAGGGACACTGGGGTGGGCTCCCCAGTACTGGAGGGGCAGGAGATGAACTGACCAGTTCTGGGGGAAGAGGTTTTGTCTTTTCAAAGCCTGGAGAGCTTTAAGGGCGGGCCCGGCGGGAGCCCCGCGTGGTGCTGAAGCACCCGGGCCTTCCCTCGCCAGGGTTTGTGCCCAGCTCTGTCCTCACTCCACAAACTCCTCATCCCAGCCATCATCAGGGAGGAACAGATGGAATATGAACACTCCGAGTCCTGAACTGCCCTTGCTGTTGAAAATTAAATATTTGATTCCTCTGGATACTCAAGAAAGGAAACACAAACACAAAAGCACTACATGGTTAAAACCAGACTGAGCTCGACCACCCCAGAGGGGCTGATCCTCATCCCAGCTTAGCACAGCTGGCACATCCCATCCTCCCACCTATCCAGTACCTCAGGAAAGCTCCTGCATGGTTTGGGTATGGCTGAAGTCCTTCACTGAACCCTCAGTTCCTCCTCCCTGTGCTTTTCCAGGCAGGAAGCAGCACAAGGCACAGATGCTGCCTGAGAGGAGTCCTGAATATCCCTGCAAAGGAGTCCTGGGCAGGTTCAACTCCTCTGATCCATAAGGGGAGAGGAAACTGGGAAGAACTCAAAGTAACTCAGCCTTTTGCTGGCACACGGAGACAGAGCTCCAGGGAAACGAGTCCTGATTGGATTTCTCCATCTTTGTACGTATGCACACTGAGTCCTGGAGATTAAATCAGATGGACAGCCCTGGATTACTTCTAAGACAAGCTTAACACAAAATACAAACTGCAATTCCAGACATTAACAGGAAAAGCAGATCACCCCAGCCCTGGAATGGCAGAAGGCCAGCGGTGTCACCAGCCAGGCCCTGTGCAGCCACACCCAGGAAAGGGTCAAAATTCCTGCCACTCACCCTGCCAGCAACAAAAATGTGTGAAATCCTGGGGGAACAGCCAAGACTGCCAGGAAAGGAGAGGGTATTCCAGGCTGGAGCTGGAATCTGAGCCAGGGCAGGGCTGGGCTCATCCCTGTGTGCTCCACACCAGTGAAGTCCCAGGAAAAACCAACCCAGCAAAGCCACCTGTGCCTTCAGGGTCCCCCAGCACTCCCAGTTCCTGCTCCCTGGCCTTGGTGTCAGCAGGAATGGGAATCCAACTTTATCCATAAAACCACTGCACTGCCAGCAAAGGCAGTGCCAGCCACGACAGCCCCGGGGTCACCCCCAGCCTCAGCCCTGGCTTTGCCACGGCCAGGACTCCCCATTCCCCTTTCCAAGGTAGACTCTGGCACCCCCTGAGCTTTTGCTGAATTAGTGAAGAGCAAACAAAGGGCAGGAAATGAATACTTCAGTGGAGATAATCTCTGGTTTATCTCACTGCACTGCTGGCCCAGCTCACATTTTCCACTGGAAGTCATTTCACTTAAGGGATGATGAGGGGAGATTAACCCAAGTTTTTATGCATCGTCTGAATCCTGGTTTTCAAAAGGCCTCAATTAATAACAGCCAGCAATTAATGATGCCTTAGCCAGGAGATACAGATCTGGTTCCTGCTGGCAATGCTGCCTGAGGAGGTGACTCTGTGTGCAAAATTCATATTCAAGCTGGGATTTATTCCCACTCGTGGCCTCTGGGCCAGGCTGGGCTGCTGCACACACTGTCACTGTAATCCCTGCCTCTGGAATTTCAGGTGCCATTTCTGTTGTTAACGCACAAGGCACCAACTTCCTCCAGGATTCTGAGGACAACAACAATTTGTCACTACAATAAGCAAATGAGACACTGAGAGAGCAAACCTGGGGCCATTTTACAGAGCAGATATTTCCCCCTCTCTCCCTAAACAGCCAAAAGTCAAACATTCCCACAAAACACAGGATAAATTTTTGTTTGCAACCAGGTTAGAAACCTCTGTCTGAACAGAAATGCTGAATCAAACCACAGTGAGACACAAACTGACCCTGTAAGTGGCTAGAAACCCCTATTTTATACATAAAATATAACACAAGCTGCTCTTCCTGCCCCAGTCACATCAGACACATTGCAAAGACTAAACCAGTTAAAGAGCTCAGAAAGCCTCCAGTGCTGCTCCAGCTCGTGCTGCCCAGGGACAGCTCCAGGCTGGGCTCTGCAGGAGGATATTCCCAGGTGCTGGAGCATATCCACCCCCCAGAACCTTCCTCAGAACTTCAATTTCAGATATTAAAAAAAAAATAAAAGGTAATTTCTTGTTTCTGGAAGAAAACTCTCTAACCCATCCCATTCTGAGGAGCAGCAGTGACCCCAAAAGTGCTGGGGTTTGGCAGAGCAGGGGCTGAGGGTGACACAGAGGCCCCAGGGGAGGAGCAGGTGGGAATCCCTGGGAGGTGCCTGAAATTGGGATTCCAAGCAGCTTCCCCTGCCCTGCTGAGCTCAGCCTGCAGGACTGAAACCTTTAACACAAACCATCCCAGCCAGTCCTTCCCACAGCCACATCCAGCTGCTGGGTTTGCCTTTCACAGAGAAAATAAAAATAAAATAAAAAAAATCCCAAATCAAGACAAAAAGATTTCCATAGGAAACTGATTATCACTTTCTCCCCTCCCCCTCTAATATTTTGGCACAAATGCAGAAGATTATTCACTGCAGATAGAAAGAAACACAGAATTGGACAGCACTGACCAAGTTAAGAGACTTATTTGGCAAATGTGAACCATAAAAACAAGTGCTAAGGGTTTGGGGTTTGTTTTTTTCCAGTTGTGGAAGTTGTTTGCCGTGACAGTTGCTGCAGGGAAAACAAAAAAAAAATATTAAACAGTCTGGAGCGTGTACGTTTAAAATGAACATTTTATAATACAGGTAAATACACACTCCCCCCAGTCCTCCAGGCAGAAACACATCTGGGAGCATTTCCATCAGCTGCAAGAAGTTGTCAGCAGAGGTGGCTGAGATGTCCAGGCTGTCACAGGGGTGTCCCACCCTGGGCTGTGTCGTGGCACTGCCAGCCTGTCCCCCTGGACTGACCCCACAGAGCCCCTCCGGCCTCGGGAGAGCCAACACCGTCCAAGAGCGAGCAAACAGATCCCAAACCTCCTGCAGTTCACGCAAACAGACAAGGGTTTAACACTGCAGAGCTCCCCACAGACCGTCTGGGAGCAGCTCCAGTCAGGAGTCGCTGCAGCAACATCAGAAAGAGCCTGAAATTTGGCCTTTGGCTCCCTGGCAGTCCCGGCTGAGCCCCCAGGTGGGGGAGGCTCTGCCTCCATGGTGGCAGTGGGGGAAACTCCTTCCTCTGAGGAACACTGCTGGAGGAATTTGTTCCTTGGGGTGCTTTAAAGGCTTCCTGTCCCCCCCTGCTGCTGCAGTTCCAGGTGTGGAGCAGGGGGATGAGCCAGGAATGCAGGAGCAGGAGTCGTCCCACAGTGTCTGGCGTTGTCTGGCGTTCCCAGGGTGCAGCAGGACACGGCCTGGAGTCGTGTGAGGCAAAGGCAAAGTTTCCTGGGAGCTGTGGTGGCTCCTGTGTGCCCACCCAGAGGCCACAACCCACAGAGGGCACAGACTATCCAGTCCTTTATCAGGATAAACTCCAGCTCCACATTCCAACAGCAAGGGCCCGGAGCATCCCGACCAAAGTGCCAACAGTTTCAGTGGAAGTGGCTTAAACAGGGGATTTAAAAAACCAACAAAACAGAGAAAACCCACCTTTTTTTTTTTTCTTCCTTTTTTTTTTTTTTTTTTTAAGGAGCAGATTTTTTTTCCTCATCACTTGAATAACTGGGAATTTGTTTACTATGCCTTTTGCTAAGGGTTTTCCAGAGTCTTTGTTGCCCCCCCCCAGGAGGAGTTTCCTTAGGAGACGCTGGAGCAGCGGATGCTGGGGGAGCCCATCTGGGTGAGGACCTTGTCCAGCCACTGCAAGGGCCCGTTGAGGTGCAGCTCAATCCAGCAGGGAGTGCTGGTCACCGTCTGCCTCCTGCCAGGGGACACAGGACACAAATGATTTACCAAACCTGACAAATGGCAAAGGTTTCACAGCTCCTCAACGTTCCTTTCCTCTTAGACCACAGTCCTGCACGGGGCCGAGGGGACGCCTCTGCTCTGGAACAGCCTCTGGTCTGTGCTGCTCTCACCTGTGCTAAAAACCCACCTTGTCCCTTTCCATTTGTTATGATCCCACAGGAGCAACTCTCTGAGGAACCTGTTAACTGCTCAGATTGCTGGGAACAGGCAGGTGATTCCCTGAAGGGAAAGGCAGGTGTTCATCTCAGGGAAATCCTTCAGTTTTATTTTTTGGGACAGTGAGGGGAGTGTTCCCCAGACAGGTTCATTTTCCCGGTGTCCAAGATCAGGACATTCTCTTTTTACCAGACCTTTGGGTTTTAGCAGCAGGTGGAAGTGCTGGAGGGAGAGCACCCTGAGCCCTTCAGACTCCCCCCCACGGCCCTGGGGCCTCTCCCTCGTGTGCCCACACTCCCTGTGTATGGCCCTGTCCCACTCTCCTCCCTGTTATTCCCATGTCAGACCCCAGGGAGTGTCTCCAGATGGTAAAGCAGGAAGAGATGGGAAGGGAGGCCAAGGCACAGGGCAAGGGGCTCTCCCTCCTGTGCCCAGGCAGAGAGGCAGGGACAGCTGCTGTGGAGGAGGGAGAAACAAGAGAAACAGCCTGCAAACAGCCTCGTTTTACACCCTCATTGCCCACAGAACCTGCCCTTGGAATCTGGTGGTGGGAGGCAGAACACAGAGCCTGTGGGGCTCAGGGAGAAATGGCTGATGGAAGGGGGGCCCTGAGCTTGGGGGCTGCCCTGAGCTCCCACAACCATCCTGCCCTTTGTGTCCCCCTCCATCCCTGTCCCTCTGTGCTCCCCCTCCATCCCTGTCCCTCTGTGCTCCCAGACCATCCCTGTCCCTCTGTGCTCCCCCACCAGGGTGGGCACCTGAGCCTGGCTGGTGCCATGCAGTGATTCCATGGGGAGTGGTTTGTTCAGGGGTGTCCCTCCCCTCCCCCAAATCCCTGGCACACACGAATCTAAACCCCCCCTCAACACCAGAGTGCTGGAAAGGCTGAACAGAAAGCAGGGACCAGAGCTCTGGATGCTGCTCCCACAGGAACAACTCCATGTCTGAGCCAGCTCTGGCAAAGGCACCAGAGGGGGCATTTTGGGGCAGGGAAAGGCAGGAATGGGAGAGCAGCCCCGGGGGGAGCGCAGGGCTCGGGGCCTCCCAGCTCCAGAGATCCCGACTTTCCGTAAGTGACGGAGCTCAGCTGGATCTCATTCCCTGCCCTGGCTCAGAGCCAGGCCTGGCCCCCGGGCAGGACAATTCCAACACGAAATGGACTCCAAACATCTGGAGAAATGAGAAAGTGGGAGCGGAACGTGCCGGGCTCGGGCTCCGGCTGATCCCGGGGCACCTCCCTGCCCACCACGGGGAGCAGCAGGACAGGGACTCCCCCAGATTTCCAAATCACTTTTGGCTTAAATCCTCACCTGCTTTCTCTCTCACAGAACAACGTTCATTTCCCAAGGAATTTCGTCTCCCCTGCCTGTCCTATCCAAACCCTGACTTCACTCCCTGTCTCAGTGGGAGGCAGCAGCCCAAGCCATGGAATCCTCTGTTCCCCACACCATCCCCACTGTCCCTGTGTGCTCATCACCCATCCCAAACACCAGGCCTACTGCATCATCCTTATTTCTCTTCAGTTTTCACTGGGAAAAACAGGGATCCTGCTTCTCCCACATTTAAGCCCTTGCCCTGTGACAAGCCCTAAGGAAAGGAGCAGGAGATTTAACTGGAATTTTACAGCAACTCAAACAGTTCTCTCAAATAGACATTTTCAAGCCAATCTGCTTTGGTTTAATCCCATCAGTCCCTGATAAAAGAAGCACTAAAGCCAACCTGTAGGAAGCACCCACATTCACATTGGATGTACTTCCACAGGGGCTGGAGGGACAGGACACAGGGAATGGTTTCCCACTGCCAGAGGGCAGGGATAGATGGGATATTGGGAAGGAATTGTTCCCTGGGAGGGTGGGCAGGCCCTGGCACAGGTTGCAGAAACCTGGGCTAGTGGGAGGTGTCCCTGCCCATGGCAGGGGGTGGCACTGGATGAGCTTTGAGGTCCCTTCCCACCCAAACCATTCCAGGATTCTATGATACTGTGGTCCTGTCTTGGTAACAGTGCACTCCTAACACATTCAAACCATCAAATAAACACCTAATTTTAAGAAAAAAACCTGTAGGGGTCTCTCCCTTGACCATCTGGATTTATCTGTGCTTCAGGTAAAGCTCTTGGTTGGTGCCAGACACTTGTGGTGTTCCAGGTGCATCCCACAGTGTGTGTTTTACACAAATAGGATGGGAAAAACATCGAGGGGGGGATCAATCCCAACAGCTACAACCCAGACACTGGGCTAATCCCCACTCCTCAGACCCCTCCTAGGCTGGGAATTAGAGGAGTGGAAGGGGAGCACAGACACAGAGCCAAGTCTGACCCCAAAGCTGACCTGTACTCCGCTCCCCAGCCCTTGACGAAGCTCATCCTGATGGTGCACATCCTGGTCAGCTGGTACACGGCCTCAAAGCCCTGGTTCACCGACTGAGCCAGCAGAGCTGCAAACTCCTGGTTGTTGAAAATCTTCAAGTTGCACCCTGTGAAAGGAGAACAGGCCAAGGGCGAGGCATCAGTGTAAGGAGGGTGAGAAACACATCTCTTCAGGATAAAAACAGGAGCTCCCTGGGGCTGGATTTTCCATGGGGTCTGTCAAGGTGGACCAGCTCTGAAGTGAAACCACCCTGCCAAGGCAGGAAGCAGCTCTGAGGGTTCAAAAGGCTGGTGGGGCTGGTGGCAGAGCTGCTCCTGCTCAAATCCTCCCTGCCATTTCACTAACTCCTGGAGCATCAATACCTTCCTTCATCGGTACCTTCATCCTTTAGGCTACAAAAATGCCCTGCTTGAACTGTCAGTTTGCTCATAAAAGGGGGAAAAGCAGAGAGGATGTGGACTGCTCATCCCTGGGAGTGTGCCGGGAAGGAGCCTGGAGCAAAACCTGCTGCGAGGTGTCCCTGCCCACGGTGCCTTCCCACCCAAACCATTTCATGGTTCTGTGAGAAGTTTCTGATTGCTGTGGGGACCAGAGGCCAGCACATCTACGCCCCCACCTCGGCAGGGAGCAAAGCTTGTCCCAGGCAGTCCCTGGCAGCAGCAGGAGGAGCTGTGTGGGCCCTGCCTTACCTGGGGGGATCTTGCAGACGGTGGCCGGGTGCCACCCGTAGCGCTGGTTGCAGTTGGGCGACTGCACGAAGATGGCACTGTCGCTGAGGCACTCGGCAAACACCTCCCCACCGATGTAGTAGAGCCTGACTCCTCTCCCTGGGAAACACAGGGCACAGGGGGACGGTCAGGGGACACAGAAATCACCTCCTACACCTGCTCCAAGAGCTGGTAGAGACACTGAAACCCTCAGCATGAGCCAGCTCTGAGCACCTCAGCGATGGATGATGGAAAATGCAGCCCGGTGGACACGCCAATAAATTGGTCTGTGAGTGAGGTGAGCTGAGGGAGGCAGGAATCGATTTATAAAGCCAGGAATTTCACCTCCAGCCCCCCTTGCCAATCCCAGACATTCCCCACTCCCCCCAGAGCTCCCTCCAAACACACCCTGATATTTTCCATGTTCAACACGTGGTTTTCAGGCCCTTCCTCAAAGTCATCCCAGCTGCTTGGTTATTCACTTTGTGGTTTGCTAATAAATTACACAGCTTTTTCAACTCACTGCCTGTTGTTTGATCTGATGTTTTGCACAAGGACAAACACCCATCTCCCACAGGTGTTTCCACAAATCATTAAAATCCCAGCTAATAAAGAAACAAATGGCAGGAATCCACCTTGGTTGCTCAAAGAGACATTTGCTGTGGCCTTACACTCCTAGTTCAGTATCTTGCTTTCATCCTTCCACAGAGTGTGAGGAGCCTGATTTAAAATCTGGATTTAAAATCTGATTTCTACATCTTGGTGGGTTTGGGGTTTTTTTTTGGTGCTGGAAATCGTATTTGAAATAAGTGTGGAAAGATCCTCCTGTACAAGGGGGAGGATTCTCCTGTTGCTCAGGGAAGGGGAGCAAAATTAGGACAAAAATCAGGTTCAATTTGGATAGAAGTCAGCAGGAAACAGCAAAGCATAAGAAATTTTGCCTTTTAGTAAAACTGCATGAATTTGGGATGTTCTGTTTAGGCCGAGTTTCACTGAAAACAAATTGAACGTTACCTTGCAGTACAAGCAGGGAAAGTGGAAATTGAGATGCCAATCAAGGAACTGTCTCCATTTTATGAAAGGTCAATCAGAAAATCAAATAGTGCAGGAGGGAAAAGGAATACACACAATTATCCCTGACACCCATCCGAATACACGGGAATTCTGCCTCCATTCCAGGCACCAATTTAAATGTTCCTTGGAGCGATTTTTTAATATGATTATCTGAAAAACCCCCAGCCAGTGCTGCCTTATGGAAGATCAGCTCCCTAAAGCCCCGTGGATATTCCAGGATCAGGAGGATCATGTGCAGCTCTCCACCCTCCACCCGGGACAGGCCGCAGGAATTACCGATGTGTCTCCTCGTGAGCTCCACGGCGGCGTTTCTGTTCACGTTGGACAGCAAGCCCAGGCAGAAACGCTCGGAATTCGACGGGTCAGTGAATCCATCCACGGTCATGGAGGGCTGGGAGGCGTGGAAAGTCTCTCCCACCCTCTGGTTGAGCTCGTAGTAGGAGATGGAGCACCAGAAGGCCGGCTCGCAGTAGGTGACGGGCTGCAGGTCTGCACCAAACACAAACCCCAACATTGCATTAACACTGGCACTAAAGTGACTTAAAACAAATGAAATAAAAAAATTAGAATTAAATTATGAATTAAAAACAATCCCAGTGCTCTTCATCTCAAACCCTCCAAAGAAAATCCGTCCCCCAGCAGATGATGACACATCCCCTTCGTCGGGGTTTGAATCAGCCCACGGACCAAAGCGAAGGGATGAGCAGAGTGAGGCATTTTCAGGAAGACAACACTTCACACCCCAGCAAGGTGGGACAGCCAAATGCCATGGAATGATTTAACTGCTCCCACTGAAGCCAAGGAAATTCCAGCAGAGGAAGGCTCAAGTCAAATTTCTTGGAAAAGCAGCTCTAGAAGGTGGCCAGTCCTGCTGCGAGCCAAGACTGCTGAGCAGGAGAGGTGAAAAGCAGGCTGAGGGAATTCCTAAGTGCTATTCCCCCCATCCAGTGCAAGAGAAGAATTCCCTCCAGTCCTCCCCCCCAATTTATCACTTCATTCCCATCCATTCAAGTGGTGCTTAAAGGCAGCACAGAACAGCTTCCCACCTGGCCAAAGAGTTAACACCAAGCAGCAAAGCCCAGCTTTTTCCAGAGACTTTTTCCCATCTGCTGCTCCTGCACCACTTACACCAATGTGGGGCTTAAGAGATCAGCTCCAAGACAGCCCAAGACAGGCTTTTCCCATCCCAGCCTCCTCTCTCCCTCAGTCTCTGCAGAGGTCTGGGAGTCTTTTCTCAGCTGGTACCTGCTGTTGTTCCATGGCCTTCAGGCACAGCTTGGCTCCAGCCCAAAGGCATCCTGGTTTCCTCTCTGTTCCTGCACTGTATGAGTTCCCAAAGTCCCCAATAATCAGGAAAACCCCTTTGGTTTCTGCTTTATTACCAGCTTTGCTGACTGCAGAACAGAAGTGCATCTGGGGAACTCTCTAATCCTCAGCACTCTTCAAAGGCCAGGAATTTTGGAGCTTATACCCATTCCCAGCTTCTTTTCCCTGCCATTTCCTCACATTTTTAAACCATTTTCTAGCTAAAAGCAAGTCCCTGTCCTGATCTGCACAGATCCTGAACACATCCAGGGATCACCCAGGTCTGACTCTTCCTCCTGGATGGTATATTTGGTTTTCCCACTGGGAACTGCCACACCAGGCACGTTCCTCCAGCAGTTCTGGGGAGAGGCACAGCAAACACCAGCACTAATTGGTCTCCTAAGGTGGGTCCACCCACTCAAGGAAACAGATTGTGTTCCACGTGACTGTGCTCTGACTCCACAGCAAGCGCCTCTAATTGAGAGGCTGCTCAGCTCCAGAAAAATCAAAGCAACTTCTGCTGATCCCAAAGTAACGCCCTCAGATGGGTACTATTCAAGTTATAAAACCACCAAAACCTTTACTGCTCTCCATGGTTTCGTGGTCCTTTCCTTCAGAAACCACCTCCTCTTGGCTGGGACTCGAGGGAACTGTGGATTCCCCAACCAGGATGGACAGGACTTTGAATTCCGGCCTATTTGCAGCTCGAGGAAAGACACAAACCAACAAATCCTGGCTTGGAGAAAAACTCGCCTCTAAAAACAGCAACCAAGCTTTTAATGATGCTGCTTTCTCCTGTGATTTGTAGTTCTAAACCTCAGTTTAAGCTGCCATGGGATGGGCAAGTTTCCTCTTGTGTTAGAGCTGTCCTAAATATTCATTTTCAATTTACGGCTTTACTGTTTGGGGAAAAGGCAGAGACTGGAGCTCTGCTAAAGCCAAAGAACCCTGAGGGGGCAAACAATCAACCACAGCAGGAGACATGAAAACCAGGCAAATCCTGCCTGAATCATCCCCACACAATCCCAGCCTGGGCTCGGCCCAGCTCTGCTGTCTGAAGTGTCCCCTGAGCTCTGGGATGTTCCCAGTCTGCATCTTCCCTGCAAGATGAAAGTCCTGCCTGTTCACTCTGGAGGGGAACAATCTCCTGGCTGCTTTGCTCTCTCTCCATGTGCTCTGAGCAGCAGACAAGTTGTTTCCCTCGTTCCAGTGGCCATGTTTGATGCTCGGCGCGGATCAGAAGCCGAGCAGAGACGTTTTCCAACCGCATCAATCTGAGTTCCCTCCCCAGGAACGAAGGGATGAATAGAAGTGCCTGCTCCCTTCCCTGCGTGCTCAGAGGAGGGCTGGCTTTCCTCTGGGAAAGGGAGTTTCAACCCAGTGTTCCCGAGGTTTGTGTGACTGATGGATGTGACCGTGGGGCATGTGCTCATTTCTCTCACAGCTCTTGCGTCAAGTGCGGAGCAAACCCTGACAATGGATTTCCTGTGCTCCAAGGGGCTGCCTTCCCTCCAAACAACAATATCCATGGACCACAGGGCTGGCCCTCAGCCAGCCTCAACTCCCTGACTTCGTTCCCAGTGTCCACAGAACGCTGGCAACTCTCCTTTCATTTCCATTGTGTTCCGTGTTTCCCCCAGTCCGTGTGTCGGTAACGGGGAAGAGATCCCTGGATATCTGCAGCTCCCATTTAAAGCTTCTCTTTGACAACTGAAAAGTGATCCCAGTACGTTACCTTGCACCACTTTTGTGGCTGTGAATGGAAAGATGAAACTCCCCAAGTTCCTTCAATCCCACGTTCCAGCTTGGTGCTGAAATCCATCCCCTGCACCCCAAACTCCCCCTGCTTCTGGTGTCCCCACTCCCTCTGCCTCGTGCCAGTTTATTGCCCCTGTAATTCCCTGGAATATGGCCATGGGATTTGAGTGCAAAGTTCAGTTTACACCAAGTGTCTTAAAAGCTTCAGGTAGTTCTGCTCAAATAAACAAATCAGCCCTTTACAGGATATTATTTTGTGAACATCCCCCCCCTCCACTGCTGAGACACTCCCTCAGTGCACACTCTGCTGTGGGTTTGAAATTCCTACCCCATTTTCTTCCCAAACATCCAGAGAAAGCCTGATGAGATCAAAGGACAGCCCAGGCAGAGGGGAGTTCTGATCCCTGGAATTACAGAGCACGGGCAGGATCCTCCCTGGGCTGCAGGGCTGTGTTCACTTCCACTGCTGTGGCAGCTCCTTAGTGTAGATAAACCCTCTACAAGGGGCAGCTGATGCCAACTTTGCCCTGGGACAGCTCGAAGTGCTGCTCATCCATGTGCCATTTCATTTAGTTATTATTTTCCAGCTTCCCCACAGGAAAAACTGACAATAAAATTAAAAGCCACGAGGAGCTCTTCACTCGTGGAAGCTCCTGTCTAAGAGCAATAAATATTTGGCTTGCAGAATTGAGAGGTATCTTTTAATGCTGGGGAGTTAAAGTGCTTTTCTGCTGTCTGCTCCTTAGAGTACAGAGGGATTCCTTGTGGTTAACCAGCTTCACCTGCTCCTACTTATTTTTTGTCACCAGACAGCACACGAGACATGTGTTAATAACCAGCGTCCCTGTTATGGATTGGGGCCTCTTTCCTAGAAACTCTTTTCTAAGGCAGATGCCACAGTCAACTTGCCAGGTTGGTTTTGTTCCATGTAATTGGCTTTTTATTTTTAGGTTGGGATTAAAAAAAAAAAAAAAAAGTTTCTAGAAAATCTCATCAGCTCCCAGGCAGCACCCTGGAGCATAATGGATTCCAAAAAGAAAAAAGGAAATAAAAGTTACTCAGCCATTTATTCTCTTCTTGGTAAAGAAATGAAAATCTTGTGGCACTGTGGCAATGTTTTTAAAAAAAAAAAAGGGAAAAAAAGGGGAAAAAAAAAGGGAAAAAAAGAAGAAGGGAAAAGAAATCCCCTCCTCAACAGCCCCAAGATATCCACAAGTCAGCCAATGAGTGACAAATTTTGGAGCGGTGTCAAAGTCCTCCGTGCCAGGATTAAAAGCATATGTAAACTTTATGGCCCTGGTTATTCAGGAGTAATCTCAAGTGGCCTCTGTCTGCTGGATAATGAACAGTTGGAGAGCTGATCCTGCAGCCAGGCAGAGCTGAGAGGGCTTTTTATGGCACACCATGGAGAGCAATTCCCACAGGGCAGGAGCTCAGCGGGAGGGAGATCAGACCTTTAGTCTGGGGGCACGAAAGGAAAGGGCAGCAGTGGCACAGGAAAGGCAGGGAATAGAAAAATGGAATGGTTTGGCTTGGAAGAGACCCTAAATCTCATCCAATTCCACCCCCTGCCACGGGCAGGGACACCTTCCACGAGCTCAGGTTGCTCCAACCTGGCCTGCAACACGTCCAGGGATGGGGCAGCCACAGCTTCTCTGCCCAACCTGTGCCACCCTCCCAGGGAACAATTCCTTCCCAACATCTAATCCAAACCTGCCCCCTGGCAGTTCAAAACCACTGGAATGTTATAAAAGAGACCACTAAGCACTCTAAACTCACCAAGGAACTTTCCAGGAGACAAAATTTAACCTCAACCCGTGCCTTTTAAAAATATAAGAACACAAACCCACCAGCAAAAGGGACAGAAAAGGACATATTCTTGCAAAGTCACATAATCAAACAAGTGTGGGGTTGCTGCAGTCCTTCCCTCGTTCTTTCTGCTATTTATCTGCCAACATTTCTTGGGCTTTTTGTTTAACTCTCTGATGTGAGTTCAGATTTCTTCATTTCCTACAGAGTTACCATGAGCCATTGCTATCACAGCCAAGAGGATTAGTGGGGAAGGAACATCAACAGTGCCCACAACCTCCTCCAAAAGTGCCCAACCTCAAGGAATGGCATCATTAAAATGTCACTCTCCTGACTGTAATTACAGCCAGTTCCCAAGCTCACATGCTTACCCAGATTATTGTGTGCTGGAGACATGGGGTTTGGTGATAAGTTTGGAGAACCTGAAAATCAAGACAGGATAATTACTGGTGTGGCATCTGCACAAGGGAAAACGCTCACACAGGATCCTCAGCGCTGCCCAGGCTTGCTGGGGGGATAACTTCTCACTCCAGTCTCCTTTCTGACACCAGCAGCTTCTCTGATGTTTATTAATCCTTACACGAGCTCCCAAACTTATCACTTACATCAACTTGCTACATCTCCACCCAAGCTTAACCCATTAATTTTGCAAACTGAGCATGGAGTTGGATGTTTTACTTCCACTTGCAGCCAGGAAAATTTCAGGTGTCACCCTGACAGCTCCAGACAAACCCAGTCAGCTGGACACTGAAGAGCCTGGTTCTGCACTGCCAGGTACGAAACATATTCACAACAGTTGGAAATATAACACTTTATATCCACAAATCTCACTGGGTTTGGGACTCTGGATCAGGCTGCACAGATCTGACCAAACAGCTGTCAGAATTTTATCCTCAGTCGTTTCAGTTTGGTCCATTCTAAACCTGGTTACTTGTTTTCCTGGCAATGAGAGACAACCCAGGCATTCAACTTTCTTGGTGTTGAAATGATAAACCCATTTCAAACCAAATCTGCTTGTGGTCATTTGAAATAGAGGTAAACTGGACATTTAAGTTCAGATTTCTTTATTACCTAAATTTATCTTATTTCTTTATTATCTATTTCTTCATTATTTATGCAAATGGCCAGAAAAATGCACAATCTCCCTGGACATGGACACAAAACCAAGACAAATTGTCACCCTTGGATGTGTCTTTGCTGTTTCAGGCTCCTGCTTGGTAGAATCTGATGCTGGATTTTTGGAGAGGAGGAGGAACACGTTGTGCCTTTCAGCTCTAAAACACACAGCCCTGTGCTCTGTGTGAGATTTCAGGCTACATTTACACTCCTGCCGGGATAAACCACCTCAAACCACCACCTGATCCTCACTGCCCAAATTAAAAGTTTTAAAGGCTCTCTGAAACGACCCAGAAAGCTGCAGCAAAAGGCAGAAGATGACTCACCTGCATCCATGCTGGGATTCATCTGGTGGTCACTGGTTTCTCCATCCTCACTCAGATATCCTGGAGGAGGGGTTTCTAAAGCACAGAATGGTCAGACTGTCAGTGCCACTGGATGAAAAGTCTGGGTTTTAGCCACCAAAACCATTTACTGTGTTATTCACAAGGAGACAAAATTCTTTTTCAGTACTTTGCTTCCTCGAGCTGCTGAAGGGAGGAGCCAACCCAACCAGGATGATATTCATGTTTGTGAATAGCAGAGGAGGGGGAAACAAAAAAAACCTGGATTTTCAGCCCCTAAAACTTGAAGCCATCGAGACACAGTTTTCTGTCCACATATTTTTCCTCTCCTGGAGTGCAGCTGCATAGTTTGTCCATGCAAATAAAGTGTAAATTGCTTGTGAAAGAGAAACAGAAATAGAAGAGCTCGACTCCATCAGAAATTTCGGGAGTTTTACTCAAACTAAAATGGCTGGATTTCATTCAAATCTAAACCTGCTGGGGGAACGTTCAGCTTTGGATTTCATAACAAACTCAGTCTATAACAAGTGAAGGGAAGAGGTGAGTTTTAAGGACATTTACAGCTCGCACCTCTTTTTGTCCAGGTTGGGAGTAAGGATGGAAAGAAAGACTCCCCAGTGATGCAGCTCGGAATACCCGTGATTCCCTGTGCAGGGGGACCCTTTCCCTGTGCTGGCTGGATGGAAGGTAGATGGTACCTGGAATGTAGTTGCTCTGGGGCTCGATACCTGCTGGGAAGTTAGTGTTCTCTGGGATGGAGTGGCTGTAATCGTCTAACGGCGGGAATTCGGCCGGAATCTCCGTGTGCCGGGGCACCAGCACCGGGGGCAACACTGCATGGGGGGAGGGAAGAACACAACAGCTTTAAAACAAAGCCACTGGAACGCTGGAAAATGAGAGAATCCAGTTTGGAGTCACACCCTTAAATACCCAGAGCCACGAATGAAGGGACTCCATTCGATGCTTCCCTCTGAAATAAGAGCAGGTCAAGGTGCTTTTGATTCCCAACACATCCCAATTGGGGGTGGGATACTTAGAACTACACCTGGACTCTCTGCCCCTTGTCAGGCAAAGAAACAGGTCCTCTTGCTAACAGTTTAAGAGAAGTTACAGCACATGGCTGAGAAGGAATGTTTGGTGTCAAATGAACAGCGAGGTGGGATCAGCACAAACAGCCCGGCTGGCCCTGCAGGCTCGTGCTGACACGAGGGGCTGCAGCTCCACGGCAAAGTCTCTCTCAGAGGCAGGAGGAGACTCCAGAACAGGCAGTTTAGTTGTGCTGGGAGCTGTTCTTAGATCCTCTTAGCAGTCAGTTTATCCTTAATTTCACACCGGCAATTAGGGGCACACAGAACACCACCACAGTTCCCACCACGTGTGGGAGTGGTTTCTGTGCCACAATGCCACATGAGGAGCCTGGCAGCAACACAACCTGCCAGTGGATTTCATCCACTCCAAGTGATTATTTCCCCCCTGGGTGCAGATTCATAAATTATTCCACCGCCTCCAGCAAGCGATTATCATCAATAATAAATACACCTTGGCTTTCAAACCTAGAAAGGCACTTAGAAATCCCAGGTGCTGGGAGGGAGGAGAGGAGGATTGGGCGTGGATCTGGCAGTACCTGGGGTTTCCACTCTTTGGTAATGGTAGGGGTTGACACAGACTTCGTCCTTCTTCATGTTGAAGGCGTACTCGCACATCTCCATGGCCCGCAGCTCATGGTGGCTGTGCAGGTCCGGCCAGCGCCACAGCCGGCAGTAAATCACGTGGGGGAGGCCTTTCCTGTGGGACACCTGGAGCCTGCCATCCAGGGATCTGGAAAAAACAGGGATGGGAGGAGTTAGCTTGGAATGAAAACACCTCGGTTCGACCCCAAGAGGCGCCGGTCGCTGACAGCAGGAGGGATCCGGGCCCGGCCTTCAGGCCAAGGAGGAACCTCCACAAACTGGAAAATCATGGAATCACACACTGGTTTGGGTTGAGAGGGCATTAAAGAGCATCTTATCCCACCCCCTGCCACGGGCAGGGACACCTTCCACTGTCCCAGGTTGCTCCAAGTTCATCCAGCCTGGCCTTGGACACTTCCAGGGATTCAGGGGCAGCCACAGCTCCTCTGTGCCAGGGCCTGCCCACCCTCCTTCCCAATATCTCACCACACAACAGCCCTGCTCTGCATTTACTCATTTTATGGTTCATTTGGAGGCAGACGACAAAAGCTACAGCAAGCAAGAATACATGGATTTAGTGGCACTTTTCAAACATTGTGTCCTGACCAACAGGGTGTTTGCCCAGCTCTCAGAAACTCCTGCTGTGCAGGTAGAGGTGTTACATCTTCAAATCTGTGATAATAAAACAATTTAAACACAGATACAGGAATCTTCAATGGGCCAAAATCATCCAGAAGTCACACACACACCTTTCCTTCCAAGTTATCTAATTTATCTACACAAAGTTCAGGAACATTACAAACAAACAAGGTTTCCACTTTCATTTCCCAAATTGCAGCTTAAAAGCAAATAACAGTTTTTGAGCATTGCTTACTTTTATTTTTACATCTAGCCTGTGTCTCTCCCAGCTCATTTTTCATCTAATCCTATCCTCACCCCTGAGTAGCCTCTTCCTGGGAAACCTTCCTGGGAAGCAAGACAAGGGTGTTCAGAGCAAAGAGCTGGAGCAGGGTCTCCTCCATCCTGAATGAACAAGAACTGCCCCCAGGCACTGCCTTTGAAGTCTAACCCTTCATTTCCCTTGCTTCTCTTAATGACCCAAATGAAACACTTGAGGGCTTTGGTGAAATGAAATATTTCTGGGGTTTAATTTGTCAAAGAACCAGTAAAAAAAAAAATCAAGAAAAATGAAATTTTACTGGGAATTATTTCCCTTGGTTCTTTGTGTTGGCAGCCAAGCTAAAAAAAAACAAAACAAAACAAAAAAACCAAACCAAAACAAACCCCAACCAAAACACACAAACAATTATTCCAAGAGGCTTGGCTGCCCTAAGAGAGTTTTCCCAAAAGCTTCTCTGGCAGAGCTTGGTATCCCACACACCTCTTGTAAACGCTGCTACAATGCTGAGGAAGGCAAAATGCAGCTGATTCAAGCCAAAAAAAGACAGCAAAGCCAAAAACTGGTGTTCCCAGGGGGAATGCTCACAAGGGGAGCACCAGTGCCTAGAGCTGAACTTCTGGGGAAGGTGGGAATTTTAGAATTGATTTCAATGGGGCCAAGACTGGGCTTATGTGACCTCAAAACTCATCAGGTTGGAAAAATGTTTAAAAAATATATATAAGGATGTGAGAATACCCACTAAGTTAACAAAAAGAGAGGAGGCTGAAATGAGGGGCAAACCAGGACTGATTCTCTGTTCTTTTTTCAAACATCTTTGCCTGCCTGGCAGGAGATCTTGGATCTAAGAGAGAGAAAGGAGAAAAGAGAAGACTCAGAGAGATTGTTCCAAGTATCCCAGAGGAGACACAGCTGTGACAAGTGTTATTCCTGCTCCCAGCCATCAGCAGCACATGGATATCACAGCAGCACTGACAGATTTGGGTTGAACTCACACAAAGTATGTTTGGCTTGGGGATTATTTGCAAGGAGGGGTCTCTGTAACAACAAACTTCCCAGTGAGCAGGAGGGTAAAGTGCACTTCCCCTCATCCCTGGGCTCTGGCAGGAGTGCTGGCCACGAGGCAGGAAGAAAAGGAATTCCCTGCAACCTTATCTCAGAAGACTTTTTAAAAATGACACAGCCATATGTTTCATTTTCAAACACAACCTCCCCTTCTCCCCTCTCCCCTCAATAAGGAGATAAGGTAAAAGAAATTAGATTTCCCCAAAGCCCCGGGGGCTAATTGTGTGTTTTTATGGTTGTGAAATCTCTCCTCATGCTCCCCATTAAGGGACTGGGGACACAACAACATCCTCTGCACGTTCTTGGGAAGAACGAGCAGGGCAGCTCTGTTTCTTCCTGCTGTCTTCCCTCAATCCTCAATTCCTCAATGAGTGTTTTCCTCGCCCCTCAAGGTGTATTTTCTCCAAAGCAACAACTAGAGATGGGACAGGAGATTAGCTGAGCAAACACTGTGCTCTGCTGGAGCCCTGGGGGTGACCCAAACACTGTCTCAGGTCCATGTGCAGAGCAATCTGCTCCCAAACAATGGCTCAAACAGCTTCTGGCCCTTCTTGGGCCTGTTTTGAAGTATAACATGACCTTCAAGGCTGAGCTACTCCCCTAACCACCCAAGCACGGCCTGGCTTCATGGAAATGAGCAGAATCTAAGCACCAGAATTTCTGCTGGGATATGAAATTGTTCCTCCCTCTTCCCTGGCTCTGCACCAGTCTGTGTTGACTCGATGCATTTGTTATTCCATACCCTTTAACAGGTTTTCTTTTCAAATTATCAATATTCTCTGGCCAAAAATTCAGTGTTGGTTCTGTCCAAGAGCAGCACCATTTCCTTTGGTGGGACACTGTCTTCAGAGTGTCTCTACACTGCCAGGTGTCCACGAGAACCAAACACAAAAGCACCTTTAGGACTGATCCATCCTCACATGTTGTTACAAGCCATTTACTGGGAGAGTTTAACACATGAAAACGCTGCTCCAACTGTCCAACTGCTGCTCAAAGAGCAAAGGGCAGCAGTGACATTTAATAGCAAAAACAGAGAAGGGGAGGAGAAAAAGAACGACAGAAACACTGGGGCTTTATTTTTTTAAACAAGCCTCTGAAAGAGAGCGAAGAGTAAATAGAATATCACGTGGCACAACATGAATTTGATTTCCAGGCCTGATTGGGGTTATTTTTTCTGGTTGTTTGGGGTTTGTTGCTGTTGGGGTTTTTTATTTTTTCGGTTGGGTTTGTTCTGTGGTTGCTTTTTTTAACCGTGTTTAATTTGTAAGATCCTGGATTGCGAAAGAAAAAAACCCACCCCACGTTCTGAAAGGTTTTGTTATTTTCTGTTACTCTTTGAGCAGTTTGTACCTCTCTTTATCTAGATGGGTAATGAAACTCTTCCTTGTGCCCTTTCTCCTTCTTCAGAAATAAAGCTGAAATCAGTTCACTGCAATAGTAATTAATATATATATATGTGTGTGTGTTATATATATCAAGCAAACATATATAAAAACATAAGCAATAAGTTACTACAGATATTTTATACCTGTATATTTTATAATTATATAATATATCATTTATAATTTTATAATATATATATAATTTATATATCATTTCATATATTATATATAATTTATAATTAAGCAACTATACAGAGATAAAATATAAGCAATAAACGATTACAAATATTTTTGTCGTGCTTGGAAATCTTCAGTTTTAATCCCTCCCCTCCCATTCAGGCACATTCACTCCTGTTTGCAAAGCCCAACAGTCTTATATCCCTGCCATTAATCTTCCAAGGGAGCAAAATGCCTGAGAGCTCAAGTATCCAGTAACACCAACACGTGGAAAAAGGGGTAAGGAAAAAAAGAAACACAAGCAGGAAGGAAAAGCTGAAGTTATGCATTTTAAAAACCACGAGGAGAAGCTGGTTTTCAAAGCCATGGCCAATAAGTTGCTCTAAAATGCACCAAGAACTAGGGCTACTGTGGCCACAGAATAACTGAATTTAAACATAAGTGGTTCCTCACTGGCCCTGCATCTGCTCTACACCAGGAAAATAAGCATTTCTTCTTGTAGCAGGGTCTGGCTTTTGTGTGCAGAGCTCTGCAGTGTCCACAGGGTTTCACTGAGGAGCTGGATAAAATCTCCACTCTCCCTGAAGAGTGGCCAAATCAACAAGAGTGAATAGAAAAATGCCCCACGTGGGACATTTGTAACCCCAGAGCTGAGCCCTTGCCTTCTCCTTCCCCTCAGCGTGGCTGCATTTTCCAAGTTCTGGGGCAGTTTTAACAGGACCCTCATTCAAGTTCTAGAAGTAAAAGTCCCTGTGTCAAGTTGAGGTTTGCAATTCACTGCCAGAGAGGAAACTAGTAATTAATACCTCTGTTTAACACTCCGATTTACAGAAGATTAAAATAATTCACACAGGTGTAATTTGCCACCCATCTCCGTGCAGAGGGAAGGGTTTTACCACCCTCAAAGCAACGGAGTTAAAGGATTATCCCAAAGCAAAGGAAGAGCTTGTGTCAGAGCCAGCACCAGGAGGGAGGAATTCATCCCCCCCTCCATGCTGTCAATGATCACCTCTATTCTGTGCTAGCAACTCTCATCTGCTTGTTCTTCCCACTAAAATCCTTCGGATTTTGAAGGAAACCACACATCCTCTACAAAGCAACCTCCAGCAGCACCAGGCAAAGATTCCCAAGGCAAAGAGCAATTCCCGTTTCCTTTGGCGCTCCGTAATCCTTCTGCTCAAGCCTCGTTTGCTCTGGGTTTGAGGAGACAAGACAGAAATTCCCAACATCTCTTGTGGGGGGCTTCAAACAAGCCATTCACATCCCTGAGCCTTTCCTCCTTTGCAGCCTTCCCCTTCCCTGCCCCCCGGAGCTGAAGGAACAGAGCCCGGAGAGTTGATGTCAGGATCAGATTATGACAGCATGAGTCATTTATTAAGATTCCAGTAATGCTAAGCTCTTTAGCAGGTGCCTTGAGACCGTATTTTTCGGAGTCTGATTTCAGATTCAGACCTCAGGATGTTTTATTGGTTTACCATGAGCTGGCTGTCCATTGTTGCTGCTCTGCAGCCGCCTCTGCCCGTCCTCTCCTCCCCGAGCTGTGTCCCCTTCTCCTCCCTCCTGGCATGCACTTTTAACTCAGTTTAATTTAGATTTTCTTTAAAGCTCCACATAGCTCTTGTTTTG